TTTTTTATCTTTCCTGCCTTTGAGGTCAGAAGTCGCACTCGCCAGTTAAAGAGCCGCCCCTCATTCAGGCTCACCTCTGTTACTCCTACCCGTAAGCCCTTCTTTGCATCGTATCCCCGCCTCCAAGTCCGCTCCTAATCCAATGTGGACTCTCGACTCTGCTCGGACTTCTGACCAAATCCGTTTCTCCGCTCGGCTAAGCACCTCTGCACCGCCCCTTCCCACTTGCTCCGCCAATCGCCCGTCTGGTTCCCGTCCCTTTCAATCCGTCTTCTCTCACGCCGCCAATCCACGCCTTTTGTCCCGCCCCCTGGCCGCCGAGTCCTCCAATCCTCGCCTCTGGGAAGTGTGGCCTGGTATCCCGCGGCTCTAGCGGGTCGCGCCGGAGGGGGAGGTGGAGGCGGAAGTGGCGGCGCCGGCCCGGGAGTAGGAAGGAGCTGGGGCTGCAGCCGGAGTAGAGCGGCTGCCAGCCGAGGAGCAGGCGCGGCCGCGGCGCCATATTGCGGCCCTAAGCGGCCGCGACCGAGTCATGGCCGAAACCTACGGTGAGGGTGGTGGGCCGACACTGGGGTCTGGGGTCTGGGGTCTGGCCCGGGGAGGATGCGGCCTGTGGGAATGGGGCGGGGCTTTATATATTAGGGGGCGGGGTCTGGTATTAGGGGCAGGGCCTATTGGATGCTGGGAGGGGTTAGTGGGTCTGAGGCTGAGCTTAATCGATTTGGGCGGAGCTTGAGGGTCTGGTTGTAGGTTTAATAGATTTCGGGCGGGATTTGAGGGAACCAGCCATGATGGATAAGGTAGGTATTGAGGGAGAGGTTGGTCCTTAATGTGTCAGGCGGAACCTGCGTAGATGAGGCTGGACTGTGTGAATGGCAGAGGTCGAGTTTAATGGACTATGGGATTCCTGAAGGGATGCTGCGGACCCTGGGATTGCTTTGGCTTGAGAGGTGTAGTATGGGGTTCGGGGTGAGTTGGGGGTACAATTAGGGGTGGGACTAGTGGCAAGGGGTGGGGCTTAAGCTTGAGAATAGGGGCAGGGCCTTGGACAGAGGGAGGGAAGGAGGGACTTAGGTGGTGGGAGGACTGAGTACAGTAGAAAGAACACTGGTTTAGGTGTCAGAGGGAGCTGCATTCATTGAACAAATAGAAAAAAGCATAGAGCAGTGGTCCCCAACCTTTTTGGCACCAGGGACCGGTGCTCCTATGAGAATCTAATGCCTGATAATCTGAGGTGGAGCTGAGGTGGTGATGCTAGTGCTGGGGAACGGCTACAAATATAGATGAAGCTTTGCTTGCTCGCTGTTGCTCACCTCCTGCTGTGTGGCCTGCTTCCTAACAGGCCCTGGACTGGTACAGGCAACAGATAGGTCCACGGCCCCAGGGGGTTGGGGACCCCTGGTATAGGGAACAAGGCAAAGACCCTGAGATGGGAACCAGCTTGTCATCTTCAGGGAATAGTCTGAAAGCCAGAGGCTGGAGTAGAGTCAGTGGGTCAGAGAGTGGTAGGAGGTGAAGTCGTGAGGGGCAAGGGCAAGATTGTAGTCCTTGATAAAGTGACTCTCAAGAAGCCTTAGCAATGTGATAGCTAAGATCTTGGACTCTGGAGCCAGTAGGCCTGAATTTGAATCCCAGCTCTGCCTAGCTAGGGCCTTGGGCAAGTCATTTAACCTTTCTGGCTTCAATTTCCTCATCTGGAAAACGGGGATAATTATTAGTATAACTCCCTCGTCGAGTTTTTCTAAGGATTAAGTGAGCTATTGATGTAAGTAAAGAAATTTAGAACTGTCTCTGGTACATGGTAAGCCTTATATAAGAATTACCTGTTGCTGTTACCCATTTCTCTGTTTCTGCCTGTGTCTTTCTCTCCTTATAACCGTGATGGCATCTCTGTTTCCATATTTTCCCCTGTATCTTTCTTTCCATATGGGTTTTCCTGATTTTGGCTCCATCTGTTCAGACTTCCTCTTCAAATTCCTGGTGATTGGAAGTGCAGGAACTGGCAAATCATGTCTCCTTCATCAGTTCATTGAAAATAAATGTGAGTGTCTGAGAGTGGTCCTGGGAGCACCAAATGGTGGGCACAGGCATGGCGTGGGCAAGTGGGCAGCAGTTGGGGTGGGCAGGGGTAGGGCTCGCCACAGGTATAACTCCCGTGCTGGCAGCCTGGTCCTCGCTTTGGTATATGCGCTTCACTAGGTCCTTCTTGAGCCTCAGTCGCCGCAGCAATGAGAATGGGTTTGTACAGGCTGAGGAGGCCTTGGAGGACAGGGAATCCTCTGAGTCCTGCACTGCCTCTTCTCGCCCTCCCACTTCAGTCAAACAGGACTCCAACCACACGATCGGCGTGGAGTTCGGATCTCGGGTAGTCAACGTGGGTGGGAAGACTGTGAAACTACAGATTTGGGACACAGCTGGCCAGGAACGGTTTCGGTAGGTGGGCTGGGCTCCCATGGAGAGAGAGAGTCGGGGGAGGAGAGAGGAGAGAAAATGGGAGAGAGGTGTGCAGAGTCACTTGGAGACACCATGATAGGAGCAAGGAGACACTGAGAGGGCAGGCAAGGCAGAGGGAGAGGGACAGAGACTGCGAGTAGCAGATACATAACAGCCAAAAAAGAAGGAGTCTTGGAGAGAGGATGACAGAGACAGTGAGAAAAAAGGAGAGAGAAAGAAGCATTGTGAAGAGTGAGAGACCCATATGGCTGGAAGGATGGAAACTTGTGCCCAGGAAAAGACCAGGCCTGGAGAAAAAGACACGGTTGAGGTGGGTGAGGGTGTGGGTGTGAGGGGGCAGAGAGGTAAAGAGAGTGACTAAAACAGAAAGGGAAAAGGATACTTGAAAGAGATACACTCAGAGAGAGAGAGAGAAAGAGGCACATGAGAAAGAAGAGGAGAAAGATAAAGGAAATGAGACAGAACAGAGACAGAGACAGGGTGAGTGGGACAGGTGTAGCCAGAGAGATTGAGAAATACCTCTGTGTTGCGGAGGGAGAGAGACGCGTAGGGCTCAGCTCACAGTATGTTTTCAGGAAATGTCTGCAGAAGGGTGATGGACACATAGAAATCCTGAGTCTGAGAAACAGACAGAGAAACAGAAAATCCAGTCCATGGAGAAGTGCGGTCCCTGGGCAGCACTTAGTAGCTGCTAAGTTAATTCTTGTGTGTTAGTTCACTGTGTGAGGCACATAGAGACCAGAGACAGAGAGGGCGAAGGAGAAGCAGGTGTATGACATGAATTGGATTTGCAGTAAGTGCTTAATAAATGCTTGGTTGGAATGATTGCCTGAGTTCCACAGGGAGCCAGACTGGTGACACAGGGAGTTAGTTGCAGACAGTTGGCCACCCTGGGAAGGGGGCTTCCCCCCAGATACAGCAGGAGAGGAAAAGCGGATATAATTGCATAGCACTTGGCCAAGACTGGGCAAAGGGGAGATGACAGAAAATGTTGATGAATGGATGGAAGGAAATGTAAGTGAGGATGAGAGAGCCAGAGCCAGACAGAGAGAAATAGAAATTTAAAGACACACCCATGAGGGAGGGAGACAGAAAGACACAGACCAATGAAGAGATACAGAAAGACAGGGACACAAAGACAGGGAGAGACTCAGACAGAGGCAGACAGACAAACAGCTAAGAGAGGCAGAGATTGAGGGAGACAGAGACTGCGAGACAGAAATCGTAGCAAGATCAGACCATGCCAGGTTTTGGAGGATGGGCCAGCAGTGAAGGGGGGCCTCCGAACCACCAGTCTTTCTCCGCAGAGGGGGGCAGTCACAGGGCAGACCCCAGCCTCGGGGGTGACTGGGTCCCCCTGGCCCCACAGGTCGGTGACGCGGAGTTACTACCGAGGGGCGGCTGGAGCCCTGCTGGTGTACGACATCACCAGGTGGGTGTGTGGAATGGGTGGGGTGGGGCCTGGGCGCCCCTCTCCTTTGCCCACCTCCGTTCTTCTTTCTTCACAGCCGGGAGACTTACAACTCACTGGCTGCCTGGCTGACGGACGCCCGCACGCTGGCCAGCCCCAACATCGTAGTCATCCTCTGTGGCAACAAGAAGGACCTGGACCCTGAGCGTGAGGTCACTTTCCTGGAGGCCTCCCGCTTTGCCCAGGAGAACGGTGAGGGTCGTGTAGTGGACTGTGTGGTGGGCCGGCGGAGATGGGGAGCCGTCCCCCAGGGCCATGGGTCTCTAAGGCTGTGCCCTGCAGGGGAATGTCGACGTTTAGAGGTTAGGGTTCAAATTCGAGTGTGGCCACATGTGCACCGTGTGACCACTCTGGTCCTCAGTTTCCTCGCCTAGAGAGTGGGGGTCACAATGTTTCTGTCGTACATCCTGCATGATGGTTAAGGGAGATGGTCCATGGGAAGCCCCAGCACCACCTGGATGGGTACTTGATAATGTTGGCTGCTAAGAAGGTTCAACCACCACAGGGAGGGAGCAAAATATCAGTGTAAGGTGGAGGCTGCAAATTCCGATGGCCCCAGGGAACAGGCTCGTTTTGTGAATAAATGTGATAAGACAAGGTAGACCTCACATTAGTAGGCACTGGCATTAGGGGAGTGGACAAGACTGACAGCCATGTCAGAAGGTATGCAAGGACAAACACGTTTAAAAACATCGTGTTGGCCAAACATCTGCTGGCTTCCAGTTTGTAACCTCCAGGCTTAAAGGAGGTTTTGCCATCAGAAAGATGTGGGTTTCAGTCCTGGCTCTTGATTTACTGTGAAGCCTTGTCACATGACTGATGGGTGGACTGTGGTGGATCTAGACCTTGCTAGATAGTGCTGGGGCCACAGTGATGAAGACTTGTCCTGAGCCTAGCTTTCATGGGCTCACAGCCCGGAGGGGTCAGGGTTGGGCTGGGGGTGGCACAGGGGGTTGGGAGAGCCCAGAAAAGGCACCTGACCCATCCTAGAAGGTCAGGAAGGACTTTCTGGAGGAGATGTGTGAGCCGAGCTCTGAAAGAAGAGCTAAGTGGGCACCTGGGGAGGAGAGCATTCGTGACAGGGAAATGACCAGGAGTGAGGGCAAAGGTGGCACATTGGAGGAACAGAATGAGAAGCAGCCAGGCAGGGTCAGAGTGGGAGATGGGGACTGGCCGAGGCCCTGACCTCCCGAGCATCTGCCCTCAGAGCTAATGTTCCTGGAAACTAGCGCTCTCACTGGGGAGAACGTGGAGGAGGCTTTCCTGAAGTGTGCCCGCACCATCTTGAACAAGATCGATTCAGGTAAGGTCCCGACCAACCGGAATGGGAGTGGAAGGCAAGGCCCAGCTGTCTCCAAGGCACCAATCCTGACCTCTCCCCTCCTTGGCAGGCGAGCTCGACCCTGAGAGGATGGGCTCAGGCATTCAGTATGGTGACGCTTCCCTCCGCCAGCTGCGGCAGCCTCGGAGTGCCCAGGCTGTGGCCCCTCAGCCCTGTGGCTGCTGAGACCTGCAGTGCCAGGTGGGATACTGGGGACTCGAAGACTGCAGGGGTGGTCTTCTGATAAGGGGAAGTACAGACCAGAGACAGAGACAGAAAAGGAGAGATGACAAAAGCAATGGGGAGAAAGATGCAGAAACACTCGAGTTAGAGTAGCCATCTTTCCGGCCGCAGCGAAGTCCTTTCCATCCCACTGCCAGCTCTCTGCCCTGGATCTCCGACCCTCCCATTCATGATTCATCAAATACTTACCTAGTGTCTGCTGTGTGCCGGGCCCTATTCAAGTCACTGGTGAAACACACAAATCCCTGCCCTCATGGAGCAGACAATCAACAAGATATATAAGAAAATTATGTATTAGGGAAATAAGAGCTATAGAAAAATAAGGCTAGGCGAGGAGGGGTGGAGAGGTGGAGGAGTGGAATTTTAAACAGGATGGTGAGGCAAGGCCTCACTGAGAAGGTGACATTTGAGCATGGTACGTGCAGGCTATGGGAGTGGAGGGAAGCAGATCAGGGCCTGGTGGGCCATGGGGCAGACTCTGGGTTATACCCTGGGTTGAGGGTCATAGGAAGGCTCTAAGCAAGAGGATGAGATCTGATTCAGATGTTTACAGAGTCTCTCTGACTTCATATGGGGCTAGGGGGTGGCTATGAGAGATAGGGGTAGTTGCTGGGAGACCAGAGAGGAGGTTACTGCAAAGTCAAAGTCAAAGACAGTAGTGGACAAAACCGTGGTGAAGGCAGAGGAGGAGTTGAAAAGTGGGTAGGTTCTATATCCTCCCTGGTTTCTGTCTCTAGTCACGTCCCCCCTTGATGTAGCCACTGGGTCTTTCTAAAGCACAAATTGGATCCCGTCCCTCCCCTGTTTAAAACTATTCATGGCTCCCAGGGTCCATAGGACGCAGCTGACGCATCTTAGCTGGTGCTGGACTTTTCTGGGTCCGGCCCCGGCCAGCCTCACCTGCCTCAGCTTTCATCTCCCCCCACCTCTCAGGCTGCTGCAGCCACACTGAAGTTCTGTCTGTTTCTTTGAGTCTTTGCACATGCTGTTCCCTCTGCCAGGAACACCGTTCCTTCCCTCTCTTCCCTGATAGCCTCCTCCTCTTCCTTTGGGAAGCCTTGTTTGTTCCAAACTCCTGGACAGGCTTGCAAGATACTACAGGATTTGGTCCCGTCCCCACCTCCCTGGGGGCGTGAATGTCTTCCAAGTTCTTTTCCCCTCTGTGCCTCATGCTCCCCCTCCCCTCCAGCTACTGGCAACTCTGGGGCAGCTGTGGGGCAAGGGGGTTAGACTTTGGATATACTTTGAAGGCAGAGTCAACATGATTTCCTGATGAGTGGACGTGGAAATTGAGAGAGAGGAGTCCCGGGTGAGTTCTTTGGGTGTTGCTCTTTTTTCTTTCCAGGTCTTTCTATCTGCTGTGCTTTGGCTGGGTGTGCCTGTCCTCCTGCTTCCTTTCTTACACCAACTCCCACTCATCATCTGGTCTCTGCTAACAGGACTTTTCCTGCAGGAACCTTTATCCCAGGCAGGGTTACTCCTTCTTGCTAGGTGGTCTCAGAACTGCCTCCTCTTTTTCTAAAGTGCTCAACTCTGTACACTGGTTATTATTTGCCCAGTATTTGATTTCCCCATCTGAGAAGGAAAGGAGGTGACAGATTACAGACATTAGAGCCAGGCTGCCTGCGTTTAAATTCCACCTCTGTCACTAGGTGACACTGCCTTTAAATTCCACCTCTGTCACTAGCTAGGTGACTCTGGGCAAATTATTTAACCTTTCTGGGCCTTGGTTTCTTCAATAATAGTACCTGCCTTATGTGGATGTTGAGAAGATAAAGAATTAATTTGAGTAAAGTGCTTAGAACAGGGACTGACGCTTAGTAAAGACTCATAAACAAAGGCTATTTATTATTTTTCTCCTTTTTATCCATTTTAAAAATTCTGGCTGTGCAGAAAGGGATGGATGTGTACTCTTTGCCCCAAGGCTTAGCACGGGGTCTGTTCAGGGTTTGCCCTCAGGAAATCAAATAAAAAAAGATGATGCTTTTTCAAACTTAGTTGACTGCAGTCCGCGGGAGGAAATATATATTAATCTAATACTGTCACACACGTACGTATAAAATTGAAACGTGTTTTCTTAGCACTAATATTCTTTTTTAAAAAATCGAGGTGAAATTCACATAACATAAATCTAGTCATTTTAAAGCGTATAATTCAGCGGCATTTAGTACATTCACAAGATTGTGCAACCACCACCTCTGTCTAGCTCCAAAACATTTCATTGCCTTAAAAGGAAATCCCACTCCTCATCCCCCAGCCTCTGGCACCCACTCATCTGTTTCTGCCTCTGTGGACCAATATTCTTACATGCAGTGCAGTCTGATATTTTCTATGTATTCTATTTTCTGTTTCAATAAAAGATTGGCCAAGGCCCACCAAACTGATTTCCCAACCCACTAATGCAGTGCCACACATTGAAATCACCTGGAGAGCTTTAAAAACAGGTGTCTGGGCCTCACTCCAGAAATTTTGGGATTTCTAGAAGCTCCCAAGTAAAGCTATCTGCAGCAAAGCAAGAACCGTTAACCGAATATGTCTCCTTGGTTTGGAAAACCCTGGAATGAGACCTGGAAGTGACACAAAAGTGGGGTAGAGTGACACAGAGGTACTAAGGTGGGGACATGAAGTTTAAACACTGAGATGCCTCTCTACAGACTCAGGGAGATACTCTCAGAGAGAGCGCCCCAAATTACATGTAGATGAGAAACAGAAAGTCAGACAGACTGTAGAAACTGAGTGTGGATGGATGGACACACCAGCTGGACAGAGCCAGGATCCTTCCCGTTCATCACACACTTTTCTTTCAGCTCACCTGTTCTCCAGGACCAGCCCTGCCCTTCCGGCTGGGGCCCAGACCCAGGCCCCGGGAGACCAAGCCCCTCACCTGCCCTGGCTCCCTGAGAAGCTGCCCTGCCACCTGTCCCCCTTCCCTGGCCTGGTGGGGCCTGGCTGAGGGGCAAGACTGAGCCACGGGGGAAAGGGAAATCCATACCTGCTGCTGCTTCCTCTGTCTTGGCTAACCCCTGTTCCTCCTGAACCTCTAGCCATTCATTCTCTAAGAGTTCCCAAAACCTGAGACCAGGGCCATTTGGCCCCAGCTCCCCTGGCCCTGCCATTGTGAGTACGAGTTATTTATTACCTGGAGGCCTGC